ATGCTGTTCTATCAAAGCTCAATAAAACAAATATCATGTATGGTATTTTGGGGTTACTTACTGGCTCCGGCTGATCGTACCTCCGTGTCCTCCTTTACTTATTTTGAAAACCATTTTAAATTCTCTTTTGAAAACCCTCCCCGATTTGAGACTGGAGTCACACAAGTGTTCCTCCAATTCACTCAAACCAAGGCTCTGATACCAACTTGTAACGACCGAAAAATCCAACCAATTTAAAATTTTCAAAAACAACCCGATTTCATTAAATTATTACAAAAAGGTTTTCAATACAAATCATTTAGAGTATTCCCAGAATCACATTGCTACAAAATCATGAGGAGTGGTACGATCACGCCTTTGCCTTGCCGCAGTCTCTTGAAGAACCTGAAAAACATTAAACCACAACTGTAAGCCCGGAAGCTTAGTGAGATACCCCCAAAATACCAACCACATATACCATACACGTAACATGTTATCTCATAACAAATCATAGAACAGCCATGCATATCGGGTCTACTGTGGGACTGGTCCGCCTGGTCGGGCCTTCAGTCCCCTGGTCCACCCTTCGTGTCCAATCACGTACCTCAAGTCTGCAGTGTGGTTGGTCCGCCCGCACTGGGCCTTCAACTCACCTGGTCCACTCTCTGAGTCTACAGTATGACTGGTCCGCCCGCATCGGGCCTTCAGTCGGCCTGGTCCACTCTTCGAGCCTCGGCACGTTTGGTCCGCCCGCGTGGGCTTACAGCATATCCGGACCGCTCGCTGGGCCTTCGGAATAACCGGTCCGCCCTGGGTATCTTGGCCTATAGCACAAAGCAGGACCCGCCTCAACCCATCTCCAGTCCAAACATCCATGTGCACATAAACATATAATCATATAACAGTTCTCATTCAAACAAATCGATCTAACAGATCACATAACATAACATACTCTAAGCAGTATACCGACCTTACAGGTCACTAGCATAGCATTTCCTTATCTCTCAGGATACCGATCTCAATCAGGCCTCTAACATATACCGTCCTAACTCTCAGGATGCAAGCATATCACAGCAACAAAATAACAACAACTACCCGGATCTCAATCCGATAAGGGCCGGCCTTGGTGCCTTAGACCCTGTTGATATAGTGAGGATAACTCACCTCGAAATTGCCAGCTGAAAGGATAAGATCCCGCTGCTCCGAACTCCTCCACTGAACACCAAAACACTCAACTCAATATATACCCTTAATTACCAAAATACCATTGGAAGACAACTGGTCAACCTTGGACAAGGTCAAAGTCAACCCCCGACTAACTCTACTCGCCGAGTCAACCCGATGACTCGCCGAGTCCCTATGCTCAGAACTTCCCTCAATCCGCGACCCAACTCGCCGAGTCCAACAACTCTGAGTCCACTCGCACCCAACTCACCGAGTCATCCCTTGACGCACCGATTCTCGACTCAAACAGAAAATATTGGGACTCTTCGACAAGACTCGCCGAGTCCATGAACAGACTCGCCGAGTCTAAGGCTATCTTCAACCTACTCGACGAGTTGTTCATCCAACTCGTCGAGTTCTAGCTCATCTTCAAGCAACTCGTCGAGGCCACCCATGTGACTCGCCGAGTACCACCGGTCTGAATCCATACAGAAGCACTCCAGGCCATGCAATTGATCCAAAACATAGATCTACTTCACCTAAGGCCATCCATCACATAAATTCACAATCTTTACGTGAATCCATGAAGATCTAGGCATTATACACATTAGGGCTAAGGTTTGGGACAAGATAGCTTCACTTCATACTCAATTACAGGGACTTTCAGGCATTCCAACCCTTCTCTATTCCGGATCTGAGGTAGCAACCTCAGATCTAACCTCTAGACTCCAAAGCACCAAAAGATATGATCTCAACACCCCCAAAAATGAAGAATCTAGACAATAGCAGCTCAAGAACGACATATTACCTCCAAAGAATGCCCCAACAGCAATGAAACTCGGATCCAAGCAAAACCCTTTGATCCAAGCCTCTTCTCCTTCAAGATTTCTTCCAACAAGCACCTCTCCAAGCTCCAATTTGCTCAACAATGGTGTTCCTCCATGCAATTAGGGTTTCTGGGACTCAAGGGGGATCAAAGAGGCTGGGGAGGAAACATAATGTTCTTTATATAGGACTCATTCCCCGGATTTAGGGTTTTCTTCACCCAGCACCTACTCGCCGAGTCCATCTTTGGACTCGCCGAGTAGGCCACTTGACACGCGACCAAAATCACGACTCTACTCGCCGAGTCCATCCATGGACTCGCCGATTCGCCCTTCGAGACTTACACTTTTATCCCTTCAACTCTACTCTTGCTATTCCGAGATGTTACAATAAGTCTTAAGGGTTGCATCTAAGTTGTTGTGGGACAAGGCTAAAGGGGTTTAAAGTTCCCAAGGACCTTATATATGTGATTACTCTTCGATAAACTCCACACAAGGAGTTTACCGTCGTAAACCCTTGAGTTTACGGCCGTAAGATCTCAAACATGATGACATTATTTGTTTTGAAGTGTTACTTGATTTCTAGAATATGTTCTACTTGGTGGTTTAATCCTTTGGGTAGTTTAGGGCATTAATACACTCCTTTTAGGAGTTTTCGGCCCAAAGACCATTTCCTTTCGATTTTACTGCCGTAAACTCTCATGGGATGGGTTTTTTATGCTTTCAAGTCCCAAACTCATGTAGGATAAGTTCTATACATTTATCTAAGGCTAATGAAGGCTTTAGGCACACATTGGTGCCCTTCTTTCATGTTTACGACCCAAGAGCCTTTTCCCTTAGAGATTACACCCGTAATCTCTCTTTGGGAGGGGTTTATGATGTTTTAAGGTCCCTCAAATAACTAGGAGTAAGTCTAGGTAATTGTCCAAAGCTTTAGGAGTGTTAAAAACACTCTTTGGTCCTTGTTTTTGGAGTTCACAGTCCAAGAACTCCTTGGGCCATGAACACCTAAACTTGGGTGTTTCTTTGATGTTTTCTTGTCTTAAATAAACTTACATACAAGCCTAAGGTCGTTATTTAACATGTGGAAGGGACTAGCTATCATATAAGCCTCATATAGGAGTTTACTCTCCAAAAACGTTCTTTGGCGGTAAACTCCCGAATCTCACAGATTTGTTATGTAATCTAAGTTATTAAGCACATAATAAGCATTATAAGACAACTAGAGAAGTGTACTCACGATTTGGGATGAAAACCCGAAGATCCGTGAGAGAGAAAGTGGCTTTTCTCTTGTTGAAATGTAACAAATGAAATAATTTGGCTAAGAATTATATTTATAGTCCAGAGATATTTTGGCAGAAAATATTTTTATTCTCGAAATGATTTCTAATATAACAGAGTGTTGGAATAACAGTGTTGCACAAAACCCTAGCGCATCCACTCTCCTGATATTTCCTGAAGTGTAAACCCTGAAGTACTCAAACTTATACGAAATAGTCTGAAAATTAACTGTAACTGATATAACTTCTATTGAAGTGATATTGTTTGTACAGATTGGAAATTTCGGGTTGTCACATTTTCTTTTTGGTTTGTTCTAAAATAATTGTCCACTTCTAAAAATAAATATCATTTTTATCAAAATACAGTTCATTATTAATTAAACTACAATGAAATTAAATACAAATACCATAGAAGTAAATGCAACAAAGGGTATAATTATTATTTCATTTAAAAAAGTTAATGGTAATTAAAGTTTTTTTAATTTGTATGTTTTTTTATCTGTTTACAATAATTTTGTGACGGAAGGAGTATTAGGGTTTGTTTTGATTTCCTTCCGAAATTTCGTGGAGTTTTTTGTGGATTAGTTTTTGATTTCCTGATATATATAGCTATTCTTTGTTTTTATAATTAAAAACTTGTATTTTTTTAATTAACGTATATGCATATATTTACATTAAAATTGAAGGGGCCAAAAAGATAGTAAAAGAAAAAACCAAACACAGGTTTATATGAATATATGTAATGCAGGTATTAGATTAAAAAATCAGGGGGGTGGGGGGCCTTGGCCCCTCCTGGGCTTATAAAGGATCCGCCACTGTTTGAGACACCTTTAGCACGACTGAATGCAACTCCTAGCCCGTGTTAGGGACACATTATCAATATGACACATACCATTATAGTGGTTAGTAGTGAATATAATGGATGATCTAAGCATTTTTACTAATCCAAAACACATTCTCCCTAATAAATCAAAATATTTTTGTCATATGTTCTCTTCTCTTAAATTTGGACACACAACATTTTCTAGAATTTTTTAATTTTCTTTTTTGCACTTATCATTTTATTGTATTTTTCATTTTATTAAATTAAAATTCTACATTTAATATGTAAGGTAATATATATTTAAGGTATTTATTAAAAAGAGTTTATATATATAATGTATTCAATGTATTAAACACTTATTAATTTTAATAATTTAAATTTTTTCTTAATGTTTTTATAAATTCAAACTTCTCAAATTGTTTAAATTTCATATATTTTTTTTTTAAATAACTTATTTAATATATGAGTGGTACACCTAGTAAGATTATATATGGTGAAAAATAATAATTAATTGTTAATTTTTTTAAAAAAAAGAGTCCGAAACACCTATTTTACATAAACAATATTAATTTGACAATTTATCCAACGATAAAATGATGCACTTTCGTAGTGCTGATGGCGTATAACTTGAACATGTATAGCGTTTTCTTATTTTTAAACATTTTAATTTGTCTTATCGATCATCCAAACTCCACAGCTCACCCAAATGAGCTGTCCCAAATGAATAGTTTATTAGCCTTGGAAATTTCACAGAAGTGACCATGGTGCTTCTCATCATCTTCCACTACCACCCAAACCCACCTTAATTCATACACGCACACACATATACATAACACCAACTGAGTTCACTTTTACGAAAAAATATGTGTGGATCAAGCAATCATAAAATCTTTCATTTGTAGATAAGTCACATCTTGATTAAAAAAAAAAATGGAAGATACATCATCACCCAACAAGAAAATATTGATCAAAGATCTGATTAAAGGAATAGATTCTAGTAAGAGCCTACAGAATCTAGTTGGCCAGAATATTGACAATGATGGGTCGGTTTCAGCTTTCTCCAACGTCCATTCGCTCTCCACTGTTGGCAAATCCGGCAGGTTTTCTCCGGTTCCTGTGAGTACATACATGAGCTCGGCTTGTTCCGGTGATCAGACGCATGAATCAGAAAAAAGCGAAAAGAAGCGGGTGCCGGTGGTAAAGGACTGGAGAGCTGGAAGTTACAAGACACGGTGAGAAATCCTTTTACATGCCGTTTCTTTTATTACTAATTTCTCAATTTTAACTAATTAGTTTGTATAATTTATCTCTTATATTTAATTTATATATTGTATGCAAAAAATGCCTTTTATATATATATATATATATATATATATATATATATATATATATATATATATATATATATATATATATATATATATATATATATAGAGAGAGAGAGAGAGAGAGAGAAAAGTGAATATACCCTTGAGGGTATATAAGCTTAAGTACCCAAACTCAGCATACTATATCGTTTTGTATCATATATAAACATTGTAATTGTCCAATGTTCTTATAATTCAACTTCTAACTTGAATTATTTCAAATATTTTTATAAATTTCATGTTTATCTTTCTCTTACATAATTGTCATTTTCAACAATAATATATATAGCCTACTAAGTGTTCGACAAAAAGATGTGATGTAATACGAAGATGATAGTGAAAATTTAAAAATATTGAATATAAATCAAGTTAAGGATTGAAGTTTAACAATATCATAATGAATATATCAAACAAAACGACGTATTATTATGAGTTTGGGTACCTAAGCTTATATACCCTTAAGGGTATATTCACTTTTCCCATATATATATATATATATATATATATATATATATATATATATATAATATATATATATATATATATATATATATATATATAGGGTTAGATTCATTTGAGACTACCTATATTTTGTGAGACCGTGAGACGCATTTTTTTTATTTTTTTTTATTTTTGTTAGTTAATTAATGTTCCGAAAATAATATTTAAAAAAAGAATTTTTTGATTTTTCCATTTATTTTACATTTTAAAATTATTTTTAGAATATGTACAGTGTAATATTGTATTTAGAATATTTCACATATTTTTCAAAAAAAATAGAATTTTTTTTATTTTTTTTAGTTAATTCAAGTTCCGAAAATAATATTTAAAAAAAAGAACTTTTAGATTTTTCCATTTATTTTACATTTTAAAATTATTTTTTAGAATATGTCAGTGTAATATTTTATTTAGAATATTTCACATATTTTTTCAAAAAATAAAACGGAATTTTTTTTATTTTGTTTAATTTTTTTTTATATTTTTTTAGTTAATTCAAGTTCCGAAAATAATATTTAAAAAAAGAATTTTTGGATTTTTCCATTTATTTTGCATTTTAAAATTATTTTTAGATTTGGTCTCACGGTCTCACAAAATTAGAATGGTCTCAAATGCAAAACCATAATTATTGGTTCTTCAAGTAACCAAATCTTTTTTTCAATTTTTAGAGCTTATTCTTTATCGAAAAAAAAATTTAAAAATATCTAAATTTATATATTAACATTATGAAAGTGAAAAATATTTTTCAGATTTACCGTGTGAATCCGGATTGACGTTGTGAATTTTCAAAGATTCACATTGTGAATTGGACGTAAAAAAATTGAATTTTATATCATTGGAAAAATGATAAAATGTTATAAATTTCTGTATTTTTAGTTTTTTTTTTAATAAAAATTAAGTTTTAAAAGTTGAATAAAAAATTGATTCCTTAGTTCTTAGGTTAATTATGGTTCTCTATTGAAACTCACCATATATATATATATATATATATATATATAAAAGGAATGGTTATGGAAAAAAAAAACCCTAAAAAACCGTAAAAAAATGCATATAAAAAATACATAGAGATTACAAATTTTTTTTGATTTTATATTCTTAAAAATCACTGCTTTTTTTAATAAATTTGTTGAAATTTTTTAAAAAAATCCATTTATTATTTATTATTTATTATTTATCTATTTATTTATTGTTTTCTTTTCAAAAACAATTTCACCGAAATATAAAAATATGCAATTTTTAAAAAATATAAAATAATAATAAAAGATTAATGATCTCTAACTATTATTTATGTATTTTAATAGTTTTTAAGGTTTTTTTCCGTAGAATCTAAACGTGTGTGTGTGTGTGTGTGTGTGTATATATATATATATATATATATATATATATATATATATATATATAGGGATATGGAATATACATTATAACTCCACCTAACCCTAGGTACTAAACGTTTGACATATGTCGTTTTCACTTAGTAATTATACTCGATTTGGTCTTCACTTGGTAAATAAATCATCCCGAATAACATTTTTTTCCCTGCATTGTCGTTTTATCAGCCTTATATTAATTTCTCCATTATCATTATCGTTCATTACTTCACCCTAGTGAACATTATTATTTTCCATTGTCACGAAGGAAAAAGATAATCAATGTTCTTATTGTGTGCATCATGAATCTACATCTTCAAATGTTAATCGTAAATACGATAATCGCAATCATTATATAGTAAAATAAAGTATTTTCATTAGGTTTAGTACATAAGCGTAGGGGGAATGTAATGTATATTCACTTTTTCATGTATATATATATATATATATATATATATATATATATATATATATATACTAGCAGCGTACCCGCGCAAAGCGGCGGGGTGTGTAAATTTTTTCGGTGATATGTTTCCTCTACAAAAATGTTATGTTACAAAAGAAAGTACATGTCGAAGACAAAATAATCAAACTATGGTGTTATTTGGGAGATGAAGTCATTTTTTATTCCTAGACGGTGGGCTTTATAGCAGACGAGGGAACAAAGAGGTATCTGCGATTGGAGAGATATTTAAATTAACATGCTTAATTTAAGGTTATCGAAAAGGGTTCAAAATTTGAATGAATCCGAGATTTGAGGGAACCATATCAAATTGCTGAGAAATATAAGAAGATTTGATGATAAATATTTGAATTCAAAATGTGGTTAAAATTTAATATTATTTTATTAATGGCTAGTTGTACTATCAGCTTTATCATTTGGACGTCTTAAAAAAATATTATTATTATAATCAATCTATTTTTAGAAATAGTTAGATTTCTTTTATAAGATAGTAAAGATATATATATATATACGTACTTAGGTTCAAATGTTTTTACTATTTATTGTGTATATGTATGATTAATTTTGAACCAATGATTTTAGTTAGTTTAAGAAAATAATTAATGCATATTAAATGATAGAGATCTAATTAATATCCATTATATTTTCAACATTTAATATATATTAATTACTTTTTAAAATAACTAAAATGATTGGTACAGAATCAATTATAGATTCACACAATAGGTAGTGAAAACAAAATAAGCTAACCCTATATATATATATATATATATATATATATATATATATATATATATATCACAAATCTTTTTTTATATATTCTTTAAAGCAACACCTTTTTATATAAATTCAATGAATTTCTTTGGAAAAAAGACCTAAACAATAAGAAATAAATAAAATTAATTAAAAATAAAAAATCGAACTATATTTTCCATGTAACGCTTAGAGAAACGTACAAGCATATGGTTTCCCTAAGTACAACTTTTATAAGTGTTGATTATGAAACTGCAGAAAAGCGAAATATTCATCGGTTAAGATAGTTAGCACTCTTATTGACGATGGCTATTCTTGGAGGAAATATGGGCAGAAGGCCATTCACGGTGCTAAATATGACAGGTGACAGTTATATATATATATATATATATATATATATATATATATATTATATATATATATATATATATATATATATATATATATATATGTATATATAAAAGACTTAACTTTGGCAAAAAATGTCGGTTTTACCCTTCAACAGATTTTTGGTTCGTTTATTCTGCAAATTTGTCATTTTTTTGTTGGTTTTGTCCTTATTACCTGCAATAGCAGGTTTCCAGGTTATTATTAATTATTTTTTTGCAAAGAAACCCTTAAGTTTACAAATTTTTTGCAAAAAAACCCTTAAGATTATAAATATATAAAATATAAATATATATTCAAAATTTGATAAAACTAAATGGTTTTCTACTGAAACATATTTTTAGATTTACATGCGGTGATTTTTATATTTGTTTGATGTAAACTTTTTATATTTAAATTTTAAAAAACTTACCTAGTTTTAACAAAATTTGAATATATTTCTTAATTAATACTTCAACTTTTCAAAACAAAATTAAAAAACATTTGTTAGTTAATAAGTAATTATGCTAAAATAGTTAATATGAATAATATGGTATCATGTACATTCAATTAACTTTTTTAAAAGGTAAATAAAAATATTTTATATGTTTAAAAGGTTTGTATTTCAGAAATACTAACATATCGTATTTTTTATGTGTTTAAATACATAATAATATTATCATTTTTTTTTATAAAAATATCATAATCATTTTAAACATCAAAAATTAATATAAACATTTTAAACATATAAAATATAAATATATTTGTCTAATTTATGGTATAAATATATTTATTTTTATATAAAATATGATAGTTTATTATTTATGAAATTCAAACCTTTTGAACATATAAAATAGTTTTATTTTTGTTTTAAAAAAAATAATTGAATGTCACTAATGTCATATTATTATTAGCTAATAGATGTTTTTTAATTTTACTTTGAAAAGTTTAAGTATTAATTAATAAATATTTAAATTTTGATAAAAGTTGGTAAATTTTTTAAAATTTAAATATACAAACTTTATATCGAACAAATATAAAATTTACCGTACATAAAGCTAAAAATATGTTTCAGTAGAAAACTATTTAGTTTTATAAAATTTTGAATATATATTTATATTTTATATGTTTATAATCTTAAGGGTTTTTTTTGCAAAATATTTGTAAACTTAAGGGTTTTTCGCGAAAAATAATTCATAGTAACCTGGAAACCTGCTATTGCAGGTAACAAGGGCAAAACCGACAAAAAAAATATCAAGTTTGCGGTATAAATGAACCAAAAATCTACCGAAGGGTAAAACCGACATTTTCTGTTAAACTTAAGGTTTTTTATGACATTATCCCTATATATATATATATATATATATAATATATATGTATATATATATATATATATATATATATAAGGCTTAGGGAATATGTGGCTGTTATGTACCTAATATTAGGTATAAAACCATCAAAAACTACATAATTTTAACAAAATTCAGTCAAATATCTCTATCATATTTCTTGTATCCTCTATTAGAGCTTATAATTGGTTATGTATAAATTTTTCATGGAGTTTTATAAGTTTAATTTTTGCACCACAAACCGTATATAAGAATATTTTATCAACTACATGTAGTTAAGTATATTGAAATTTATTACAGAAAACTATAATGAAAGATTGCAATTATTCATTAGAAAACTGCTTCGCATAATCCATCAAAAAAAACAAACAAACAAACAATTCAAGTATACACAAGGTAGGTGTTGAGGGAAGTTATTAAGTTTCTACTAGAGGTTTAATAAAAAAACACATTTGAAATACATAGATGTTGGAGATGAATTACAAAATAAACAATCATATGAGTTCAAAAGAAATAGGAAGAAGTTAACTGTGAAAGAAAATTATGTTTTTTTAATCAAAATAAAGTCAATATCGATGGTTCTATACCTAATATTACATACATGACAGCCATATTCACTTTTCCTATATATATATATATATATATATATATATATATATATATATATATATATATATATATAAGTTCAAATGTTTTTACTATTTATTGTGTGATTATAGGATTGATTCTCCACAAATCATTTTAGTTATTTTAAGAAAATATTTAATGCATATTAAATGTTGAAGTTCTAATTAATGTTCATTATATCTTTAACATTTAATATGCATTAATTACTTTCTTAAAATAACTAAAATGATTGGTACAAAATCAAACCTTAAAATACAAAATAGAACATACCTCAAAACCAAATGTTACAATTTATTACATAAATATGTAATTTATTTTAATTGTAATTTGAAAGGTAAAAAAATCTCACCGAATAATGAACTTTTTCGATGATTGTTTCTTTATCTTAAGAATCACTAAACTTCATATTCTAATAATCGTGGTTTCTAAAACCTGACTTTTGGAAATGGAAAATATCATTAAAATAACACCAACGCTTAGCAAGAAGCTAACAAAGCGAGGGAAAAATACAAACAAGGAAAACTGAAAGTAAACGAACAAATATAATTATAGATGTCAAAAAGGTGAACTACTCCATTGAGCCCAATTACCACATATGACTTCTATGTTTAGCCCACATGTAGGATATAACTATTATTTTGTCTTCCCTTTTTAGATATCCTTGAAAATTTTGAAATACCACCTCATTTCTGACCAGCCAAACACACCAAATGATGCAAAACAATATGGAATTAAGTATCGATCTATTACGTGGGCAATTACCCAAAGAAGCCGTGAAGTTAATGAATTTAAGTGCTTTGTCGAATTGTACTTCCTGTAAACCACACCATTTAAAATTCACTCTTGCACCAATCTTATAAACTCACAATTAGAGAATAGATGGTTCGTTGTCTCGGGTTCCTTATCACATAAAGAGAATCGTGGGTTTTTCATCAAGATTCCTCTAACCGCCAAAGATTTGCCACTGGTATTCTATTTAATATGACCCGCCATACAAAACAACAAACCTTAAGAGGAACAAATTTGGACCAATTTATTATTGGGCGTTTATAAGAGGTTATTTTAGAATCAATTAATCGCCTCATGGAGTTGACTGTGTATATACAATCTATATATACTATGAAAGAAAAGTCATATTCGGAGGTGGAAGGAACTCCTATATTACCCACGCCAGAGTAAATCTATAGATGTTCCGCTAATGCATCATCATTTCTTAATTCATATTTCCAATGCCAAGAAGGTCCAATGAAAGAAATTATTTTCTCAAGCACACAACATTTCCTTTCTTAAAGGTTGTAGAGAGTTGGAAAATGAGTTTCAAAGGTGATATTTCCACACCAAGTATCTTTCCAAAACAGTTCCAAGATTGTTCATCGGCTTATGAATGTTACACCATATACCATTTGATGTTTTCAAGTTATATATGTCATAGGTTTCCTCCTTAGGTTGTGTATGCTTATAATTACACATTTCGATAAACTATCATTGTCATTTTACAATTTCCACCACAATTTTGTTAAGAATGGAATGTTTTGTTTTTTCAGAGTATTTACACCGAGACCACCATCATTTTTTGGAAGCAGTAGTTTTTTGCCAATCAACCTAATGAATTTTTGATTTTTTATCGTCTTGAATTGTCGTCTGATTTTTCCAAGAATGTCAAGAAGTCCGTGTGGTGCTTTGAAAAGGAACATTTAGTATGTAAGGAGACTATCGAGTATATATTTTATCAATGTTAACCTTCCGCCAAATGACAATGAACTTGCTTTCCATACCGATAATTTAGACTTGAATTTATGAATGATGGGTTTCCAGTGCTTTTTTAAGAGCCATGTTGGCGCTAACAGGAACCCCAAGATAGGGGAAAGGAAAGTTTCCATCACAACAACCAAGTATAGATGCCATATGTTGTAATTCACTATTTGGAATACCCACCCCAAACAATCTTCTTTTTAGTAAATTCACTTCGAGCGCTGAAGCTATGTGAAAACACTTAGGAATCCAAGTTAGGTTTTCGGTACTATAATCAATCCATTCACCTGCAAAAATCACGTCATCCGCATGAAATAGATGTGAGATGGATGGACCTTCGTTTGAAAGTTTTATTCCTCTGAATAAGGAACACTCACAGGCACTTTTGACAACCAAATTCAATCCCTCTATAGCTAGGATGCATACAAATAGAGATAGAGGATCTCCTTATCGAACACCTTTAGATATTTGAAACTCATCAATTTGTGCACCATTAACTAGAACTGATGCCCTTGCAGAGAATAGGCAATCACGAATCCAAAACCTCTATGTTTGTCTAACTCCCATTTGCTCCATTGTTGAATCCAAGTAGTTCCAATTAATCGAATCAAAATCTTTCTCAAATTCAAATTTGAAGAGAAATATTTTTTTTGAATACTTTGACCACAAAAGAATCTCATTCATAACTAGTGAACCATCTATAATGTATCTCCCTCTATATAAGTAGATTATACTTCATCAACCACCGTACCAATCACCTCTTTATGTCAATTTGTGAGAATCTTGGTTACAATTTTATACATGTTTCCTAAGAGGTATATAGGTTTGTAATTTGCTAGTGTGATTGGATCTTTAACCTTCAGAGTTACGGTGATGAAACCAGAATTGCAACCATGGGATAGAGACCTATAAATTTCAAAGTGTTTTACGAAATTGAAAATGTCATCATGCATGATATCCCACTTTTCTTTGATGAGTCTAATAGTAAGACATCATGCCTTAGGGATTTGTTGTTGAACACGACCCTTTTCCTAGGAAAGAACAATACTTTTATTAAGACACTTAAGAAGATGTTACACTTTGAGAGACTACTGCACACTTTGCTTTCTTTGAGGTGTTTATTGGATGGTTTGGATGTTGGATTGCTTTGGAGCTAATGAGCTCCATCATATTTATAGGTGTTTTCACCTCTATATAGGAAGGTTCTAGATCTACATACATTCATGACTATTCTAGAACTTTCTATTGTATTCTATATCTATTACAAAC